GAAGCTTAAAAATATGTTTTATGAAATCACTTCTGTATAATTACGAACCAACTTTTCTTGTATGGCAGGCATAAAAAGGAGAGGTTTTTTTCCCCGTTAAGCGGGTTGGTAGTGTGTCTGTCCGTCATCGCTATAGATTTTGAAAGTCTCTCCCTGGGCGCGGACGGCCAGGAAAACGTGGTGTTCCGCGGCGGTAAAAATTACAGTAGTATTGAAAAAAAAAATTTAAACTCTTTTTTAAATTTTGCCAAGGGAGGTAATTTAAAAAAAAATTCAACTCACGCTTATAAAAAAATATGAATGCAAAATTTGTGTCTTTTGCGTTTGTGTTTGCTTTGTGTTTGTGCTTTCTGTTATGTTTGTGGTTGTGTTTGCGTTGTGCTTGTTTTTTTCTTTTGTGTTTGTGTTGTCTTTGTTTTGTGTTTTGATTGTGTTGTGGTGTGTTGTGTTTGTGGTTTTTTTGTGTGTTTGTGTTTAGTTTAGTTCTGTTCTATAGTTGGTACATCTAAAAAGATATCGCTATACTTCTAGATCTCAAGTTTGTTTACATGTTTAAATTTTTTTTTTTTTTTTTTTTTTTTTTCTGATTGACTACTGGTGAAAACCTGCTCTATGTGGAGAGCTGTAAAATAGTATGTAGGTAGAGAACAATTTTTGTTTTCAGGCAGACTGTTATAATCACATTTATTTAAAGACGTTAAGTAATTTATTGTTTTATTCGTAGGTAGATTAACCACATTAAATTTAAAATTTTAAAACATTGACTTGACTTTGTGGGTATTTTGACGTCACATAATTTGTTTACTTTTTAGTACAATAAATGGCGGTTTCAATCCAAGATTTAGTTGCCGATTCAGATGTTAAACGCGTTCTTAAACTAATTTTCTATGGGCTATAACTTTCACAATACGTCCGTTTTCTATTTTTATTACGTTTCAACACGATTATCAATGTTTTAACAGATCTTTTTGTTTTATTATACAATACATTTCTCTAGATCTACAGAAATATGTCTAGGTTCTTACGCCGCTTAGAATTAAAATATATAATTTATTAACTTATCCAGAGTTCGAGCCTAGATATGTAAGAGGTTAGCACATTAGGCTACCATGCGGGTGGCATGGGTTTTAATTTAATTTTTAGTTTAGAATGATAATGTTGCCTTTGCCTATTGGAACTTAACGGGATACAGGGCAGGTGAAGTAGAGTTCACCTGTTTCTTTGTCCTCAGTATTTAACGTGGATAGTGTGGTCAGAGCCATGCTCGGCAGGAATCTTTTTTTTTTTTAAAGATAAAATATGTTGTCTGAGACTTGGCGGAACACTGGGCAGGTGAAGTAGTGTTGGGTAGATGTAAAGTTCACCTGTGACGACAGCATATGAAGATATAGTGTGGTCAAACCCACGCTCAGCCAAAATCTGTGTTTTCACAGACAAAAACATGTTTGAGTTGGGAGGACACTGGACAGGTGAAGTCGTATTGACCTGTTTTTATGACCTAAGCATATGAAAAGATTATGTTGTCAGACCCATGATTAGACGAAGTCAGTGTTTTTAAAAGAAAAAAACGTCAGAGGTGTGACGCCTTTTTGAATGTGGAGTCTGATTATTTTGTGATGATAAGTGACAGACGTGATGCCATTTATTAATGACCCCCGAAACCCAGTTATCTAATGATAACGGGTAGTCTAGTAATTTATTAAATATTTCGATTGTTAATATAGTTTTAAATATTAACATTTTCATGTTTTTGATTAAAGCCAATGCTAAACTTACTATTAAATGGATATTTATGTCCAGTTTAATCTTATTAGAATCTTTTGTTGTTAACATTGTCTGTATAAATCTTGTAACCCCAGGCTTTACTTGAATGTGAGGTATCGATTTCTTTAAGTCTCCAGATAGATTCGTCTACGATAAAAATGCATGCATTTCTAGCTCCGAATCTAAATCAATACAAAATTAAAAGATTTATTCAGATCCTACTAAATTCAATAACAAAAGAGGGGATACGCGTTTAAGTACTAGCCTTAAGGACCCAACTGTGAGTTAAGAATGGTTTCTTTCAAACCTGAGAGCCCACGAAAGATCAAGAAAATGCAGATTTTACTTGCATGTGTTGTCGACTTAATTAAAATGAAAATATCATGTAGCTAATACGCCTGCTAATTATTTATAAAAGTTAAGAGTCCACTTTATATTTTAATCTTTAAAAGGTAGTATTGCAAAATAGTGGATATATTTTATTACTTGATAAAAAGAAAAGAAAAGAAACAACTCATTATATCTCTTACACTTTGTGTAACTTTTTGTTTGTTCAACCAAAGACTAAATACAATTTTTTAACATTAGTAAAGCATTGATATTATTATTGTTGTATTGTTGTATTAAAATATTGTTAGCCAAATCACAGTTATTTTAAGAAATAATAATGTCATGTATATTATTTTTCATTTTATGTATAATCATGATGAATAATATGGTATAAAGAGTATTTAAAATGTCCATAAAATCAGAACTTCGGGGCGGGGGGGGGGGGGCATCCTGTCTTCCATGGGTTGCCCGACCCATCCCCATGAGCGGGATTTACTATCCCTCTCTATAGACTGTCGTTTTGTAATGTGTCATATATCGTTGCTAGCCATTTAGTTTGGCCATCTTAACTTAAAGATTTGAGTAGGCATGTATTTGTTAACGGATGTAGCTGTTATTTGTCTATACAGCCCTGCAAGTTTACTAGCTATAAAGCTGCACTGCCTAAATATGTGTTTTGAAGATTTGTATATTGCTCTGAGGTGGCAGAGCTGTGCTATTCCAAATCGGGCTAAGTGAGTTGAAGTCGCAACTGGCTTTCTTTAAGCTAATCTTTAGTTAACAATAAATGTTTATTTGTTTGTTTTGTTTGTATGTTAGGTATGACACATTTTGTAACATCATTTTGACCCACTTTTATTGAAACTATTTCTTTCGGCCACCTTCGTCTATGGTGACAATTCAAGAGTATCCATTTTACTTTCTTGTATAAGAAGTTATGGTGCACACAATTGAATTCAACATTCATATATCTTGACGATTTACCCCTCACCGAGTCGGCAAAAGTTATTTTTGAAATTGTGTCTGTATGTCTCTCTATGTGTTGTGTGTGTGTCTAGGCGCGTGTGTGTGTGTGTGTTTGAGAGTCTGTCTGTCTGTCTGTTAACACGATAATTTCAGTACCATTTCATTTATGTTGACGAAAGTTCTTGTTTAGGTATAATTTATTATTGTTGTTTTATTTTCCTAACATTTAAAATCATTTTGTGATACAATTTAAAAAAACAAAAATATTTTCTTTGTCTTCGTCTTCTCCCCCATCCTGTGGATCAACCCTCCCAACGAGGGGAAGGTTGGCGGGGCCTCGCAACCCCTGCGTCAGAAAGAAAAACATTAATGCTGTGTTTATATTAGATGCAACGTCTGAAAGAAACACCGAATTAATTTATGTTGTGATCGACCTTGCCAGCCTGTTATCATAAGGTCAAACAATGTAAAATGTACAGACACATCAAAGAAACCCCGTATTAGCAGTTGTTCAATGGTGTACGCGTCTAATGTTTATAAATGTATCTATTAGAAGTTCAACGTACTTAAAATTACGTGTAAATTACTCACAATACTGTAATTAGTTTCAAAGTATAAATTAAATCATCTACTACCTTCACACCATACTTCATGAGTTGAGATCAATAACTCTACTTCATCTACCCCATGGATCGTTAGGTCAGAAAAAGAGCCCTTCGTTCATTCTGTTCACAATGTAATATTTGTAATATGTGCATAGCAGCTACAGGACATTACACCCCCGGAAATTACCCCCCCCCCCCGGACATTTCTCCCCGTATTTACCCCCCGGAGCAATTACCCTCTGTCAATTACCCCCTGTCACACCCCCCTCCCCCCGGGGAATCGCCTCTCAAGTTAGAATCCTAACTCTAACTAGAATTCTATACCTATATACCTATATACTACCCTAACGCTAACCCTAAACCTAAACCTAACCCTAAACCTAAACCTAAACCTAGCCGTAACCGTAACCGTAACCGTAACCGTAACCGTAACCGTAACCGTAACCGTAACCGTAACCGTAACCGTAACCTTAACCTTAACCTTAACCTGAACCTTAACCTTAACCGTAACCGTAACCGTAACCGTAACCGTAACCGTAACCGTAACCGTAACCGTAACCGTAACCGTAACCGTAACCGTAACCGTAACCGTAACCGTAACCGTAACCTTAACCTTAACCTGAACCTTAACCTTAACCGTAACCGTAACCGTAACCGTAACCGTAACCGTAACCGTAACCGTAACCGTAACCGTAACCGTAACCGTAACCGTAACCGTAACCGTAACCGTAACCGTAACCGTAACCGTAACCGTAACCGTACTAACCGTAACCGTAACCGTAACCGTAACCCTAACCCTAACCCTAACCCAAACCCTAACCCTAACCCTAACCCTAACCCTAACCCTAACCGTAACCCTAACCCTAACTCTGTCCGGGGGGTAATGTCACGGGGGTAATTGACAGGGGGTAATTGACAGGTGGGTAATTACTCCGGCGGGTAATGTCGGGGGAGGGGGGAAATGTCTTGGGGGTAATTGACAGAAGGGAAATGCCATGTTCCCGTGCAAAGCTTACCTTTTAAGGTAATTGTCGTTTAGTAATTTTTCATAATAGGTGAGAGTATTTCGACCTAGCATATTTATTTAATCTTCTTCTTTGCTGAAACTTGTCATTTACCCCGTCACAATTATCTGACATGATGTTAAGTGTGTGCTTTCAATACATAAAAAGTACGAACAGAACATGTTTACGAACACACCAACTCGTAATTTCACTTCCTGGTTTATATCATAAATACCCAAGTGACAAGATAGAAATATTACACTATACAGACCCAGGATACCAACTAGAACTGTAGTCCACATTTACCTCGTTATCTACAGTCGAAGTGGCCACCCTAAGATAACATTGGGATAGACCATATTTTATTTGGTGGCTGTCGGTTGTGTCGCTGTTGTAAACAATTTCTTGAGAGACTAACTTCAGAGTTGCTACAAATATATTTAGGATGGTGTTACTTGTATAACGTATTGTAACGTCTGCCATTGTTTACAACACAATACATCTATTTAATGGCAATTCAGATATTGCTTTATTTCATCTTCATTATCAGTGAAGTTCAAGTGGCTAAAGGTATGCGACTTAATTTTTCAATGGACACAAGATTGTAAGAAAAAGTGAAAACTATTTATATGTTATTGTATGAATCTTGTTAAAGTAAGTAAAGTTCCCTTTCAAACCTGACGGTCTATAAGGCAAGTGAAGTAGAGTTCACTTGTTTCTGTGAACTCGGCATATGAAGAGATCGTGTGGTCAGCCGCCTTTACTTTCCCTAACGGGAGTTAGGTACCCATCAGGACCTAACCTGGAATCGAACTCGAGAATTAAGGGCTAAGAGTCCAGTTCTCTACCGCTAGACCACTCCGTCCCCAATGAATATTTTACTCGTGATATAATTATTTTAGTAGATAGCTGCAATAAAAGTATTGACAGAAAACCGTTTCCTTAACTATTTCAAACAGTTCAATTAGGAAAGTAATTATCATAATGTTTTTGATAGCACATTATATGTTTTAAAAACTAGTATTATTACAAACCCATATATTTTTTTTTCAGCATGTCAAACTGGCTGGTTCGGCTCCAGCTGTCAATACAAATGTCACTGTGTCAACAACCAATGTGGCCTTGACGGAAAGTGTACAGGAGAGTCTACATGTGACAGGGGATGGTTTGGTCCTCTATGTCAATACCGTGAGTTTACTATTTTAGTGAATTGTACTTTTATTCAACACACTATTATGGTATCTTCAAGGCTATTACTAATGTTCAGTATAAACTCCGTTCCCAGAGGATTTAGCACAATTGAATACAGCTACAACCCACGCCGCCCTGATAGATGGAAACGATGCCACATGTGCGAGTGTTTCAACTTTTAACCTGACTTGGAACATTACTTACCAAGTCACGTGGTTCAGAATTATTATGCAACAGCCAAGTGAGTGAAGTTCTACTCCACGTGTTAAGTTTATTATTACGTGACATGTGACGTACCATTAGGTGGAAATTGGCTAAGTAGTAATTGTTGTTATTTAATAAAATACAATTTATTATCTTCTAGTTATTACAGCTAACAAATGTTGAAATGCCCAAATCTATATATATAATTCTCTTCTGGGAGCCGTTAAAAAACAAGCTGCAAGCGCCTCCTTGCAGTCCCCTCTCTTTCTCTCTACCACTATCACTATCACTACCACCCCCACCCCACCCCACATTGTCTGGTGAGTTGTGGTCACGCTAAATGTTTACAAAGCTAAATGTTTACAAATCGTAGAGCCGTAGAGCCGGGTTTCTATTATGGGCAGATAATTTAGTTCGATTTTAAACTTACAGGAGGTAACTAAGAAATAACTAAGAGGAGGCTGCTTTCACGGGGGGGGGGGGTGTGGTTAGTGTAGGGTCGGGGTTAGGGGAAAGGGGGGGGGGGTTAGTGTTTTAAAGCAAATATTTTCAGTGGCAGCATTGGTACTGTCGAATTCACAAATTATGAATTACTGAAAAGTAGAAAATAAAACAACTAAATAGCGGCGTATGATACGCTGCGGGTCGGCTCGTATTTTATAATTTTGATGTCTTGGTAGTACAATAATTTCAATTTTCGATTACAAAATGCCCACAGATTCATTACAGAACGTCCAACTGACTCTAAATAAAACAATCACGCCAACTACATATCTGATCAAAGTTACTGACAGAGTCACTGACATTCTCTGTCAGACAGATCTCCTTGCTACACATGTAAGCCTACACTTCGGATCAACGCTTGCAGTTTGTTCAGTTTACTTGAGTGGAGGTAATTGCTGTTCTTATCACACGATGTAAACGTGTTTTATTTCAAACATATTCTACAGCTTCAATTTTACATTTTAAACTTGAATTTACATTTTCACTTAGTTTCGAATTTATATTTTATTAGTGAGTTTATATTTTTATGCCAATACACCGCACAAGATAACACGCTAACGATAAAAATCATCTTGTTTTTATTTTGTTGTAACAAATTCAGAAAATGTTGTTATAAACATAGATGTGTAGAAAAGTATACGTTTAGATTTTTTTTTACTACATTTTATTGGATAAGTAAGGAAATGTATTCAATTAGCGTAAATAATTTATTTTAATACAGGTAGAAATGTTGCTCTAAAACAAACCACCAGCCAATCAAGTGATTATGAAGAAAAGGACATAGTGCGCAACTCCTCTTTGGCTGTGGACGGAAACACAAGTGGGAACTTTTCACACATCACGTGTACACATACAGCAGAATCCAAGCCAGGCGAATGGAGAGTTACATTTTCAATTACTCCAAATGTCAATAGATATATCCTTTATAACAGAGGTAATGTTTCGTACTGCAATGTTTGACCTCCCATTCTCAAATATATGTGTACACATCTCAGGAAACTTAATCAACATACAATAAATATTATCCTAATATATAAAAGCCCATTTTACGCATTACTCCACCCCCCCCCCTCTCTCTCTCTCTTTATCTCTCTCTCTCTCTCTCTCTCTCTCTGTCCGCATGCCCCGAGTCTAAGAGATCAGTATCTTCAGCGATAAATGGAGAACTTAAAGATACTATGGTTGATGCTTTAAATGTATAAACTAAATTTTATTTTAAAAAGGAAAATAACATTAAGGGAACAAGATACCCATGTTTTCGATAAAATTGTAATTTTGCTTCCCAAAATTTTTATTTCTTAATTCGATACTAATACCTTTTATCTCTCTAACCCGAACATCTTGGACTTCTACAGCTTACGGTTATCCGTTTATTGCGATGTGAAACATGGTACCCCCCGACAAGTTTTCACACTACTACGTGGACAGCGGCTATCTTCGAGCGGGTATTACATGTATTTATGGCCCGCGGGGCACCATAAACTTTACAGCAATCTAAGGGCCAAGCACTCGTGTACCCGCTGGTGTAGTGACCTTTTCTTTTGTTCTAAAAATAAGTGAGATAGAAGTTGTTTTCTACAAAGAAAATTTTATATCAAACTCCATATAAGGGCATGCGCGTAAAAATTATGAAGGGGAAGAGATTCATTGATACGCTTGACCAATCATATTATAGTACAGTAAATCAAAATAATTCACGATAGGCTGCAACTAACCGCGTGTGCTAGGCAGCCATCTTGTTTCTAGATAAACAAAACAATCGCCTGTCTCGTTTGTTTACCTCATTTGCGTATATTCTTCTATTTGTTGTTTTAAAGTTATAATCAACATTAAGTTTAGTAATTGAAACGTGGCCTAGAAATGCACTGTTGATTATCACTGGAACAATATTAAACACTGTTTCGTACGCTTTATACTAAGCTGAAACAATGCGTCATGGACATGAGTCTGACATGACTATCAGTTTGAAGAATGTACTGTCCATCCCCTTTACCCCCTTCATTCCCTTCTCGCCATTCAACCAACGGCCGGTTTATATTCTAGTTACGGCATGCTGTGATAGGCTTGAACGCGTTCATCAGGCTTTACACCGGACTGTATACGACACATGTGTTAATGTGTATGCCCATCTCTCCGTATAGGGTGTGGTAGCAACGAATGTAAATACTAGATAGGATAGCTGAGAAGCATTCACTTAGGCCCTGTACTTGACCCTATCTACACAGATGTGTTATTCGCGGTTGAATGAACATTGGTAATCTATGGCTCATCGGTTCTTCACGCACTATCCAGCGGTGGGTGGGGTGGAGGGGGCGTGTCTAGCCCCAAGCGTTGTACCCAGTGTTGTGTTGTAGGCTATTATCATAAGGCAATAAACTTGTGTAAGCTACAATTTGAGTAGAGAAAGACATTGTTTTGAAGTGAGAAGACCGGCTAACAAACAAAACTTGATCTGGTTTGAAAATAGCTGTTCTGAGAATACCGCTCGATTGATAGGATGTGTAATACTTAATAGTCATACATTCATTACCTGTTGTATACATATTTTCTGCTTACATAGAAAAATTCTGTCTAAAACTTACAACATAAATCAAAGCGTATTTTATTAGACAAATGGTTCTTCCACATATAACAAGACGTTTTTTTTGTTTTCTATAAGAGAAAACGCGCCGTGCCTTTTCCCGCTCTTCTTTTCACGTTTTCTCAACTTTGCATTTTTACTCAAAATTCAACATTCAAATCGCTAAGGCTTTGGAACCCTTTGTCATACAAGAATAAAACATTCAACGTGCATTCAGCATGATACCATCTACAAAACTACGTTTGTACATTAAGTTTGCTACAATACTTTAGGAAATATTGATATTTATGTAACACCACCCCCTAATTTTTGCACATACATTTACGTAAAAATTTGTATTAAAAATTGAGTACAAGCTATCGCAATGAGTAAACGTAGAAATGTATAGTTTGGTTTGAGAAACCTAAATCTTTCATCTGCTTTTTAAAATCTCTTATGGGAACAAAGCCTTAGCGATTTGAAAAGGTGTTAGTTTTCACACCTTTTCGCGGTTTCCATGGCAACCAGTACTGCTATTGACGGCTATATATTATTTTTGTCTATAGTTTAACAACTATAATTATATGAACTTATTAAACAACCAGAAATGTGTTAAATAAAAATTTTTTTTTATCCGTGGTGCCTGTCCTTAAAGGCTTATTCGAATGTAGAAACACATTTTTATAACGTAACCGGAAAAGTGTTTATCATTGTGACAATAACGCAATAAACAACGACGTCACATATCAAATGTTTAAACTACGGAAAGAACACATTACCAATGCGTCATCTTTCAAATTTAGAATAAAAAATAAAGCGGGAGTGTCCTCACATAAACTTTCTCGAAAATTCTTATATGACACTAATGGGGAGGGCAACTCGGGATATAGACATGATTTTTAATCCATTTTTACTTACTTAATCTTTGATCAAGTAGATCTAGATCTGGACTAGCTCTCGTCAAAACAAAATGGCTGGAATTTTGTCTTCAGACCACCTATAGTTTATGCTTTCCTATTGTGGAGAGCAAGTTTTATTCTAAACGACACTCTTAACTGAGAAAAAAAGGATAAATACTATTTAACACCCAGGTTTTTTAACGGCATTATTTAAGTTTCTTAAACATTTTATATGGTGTTGTGTTTGGTTTTAATTTTTCTAATAGGTATTGGTAACCTACGTTATTTTAAATGTGTCGGATTTTCAGCTATTTAGTCATTTCTTTTCTTTGTAAACTAATATCGTCCAACGTGTAGTAAAGCATATCGCGATTTGACCAATAACTATTTCATATAATTTTTTTCCAAATAAGTAAAACATTAAAAATACATAGGCCTATAATTCACGGGATACGGGTACTCATGGCCAGTTTAGTGAAAACGTTTAACTTATGAATGCACTTCATGACAGCTTCGATTACTTTTTTAAAAAATGTTACAATTTACTCATGTAAAATATAATTATCTTCTTTTGTTTGCAAACATCGTTATTGTAATCATTGTGTTATTTGACTACAATTTTATCTATTCAAGTAGGCTGTTATTTGTTGTGTTATATGGAAGTATTGGCTTTGAACATGGTAGTGATGTAGGTTCAAGATAAATGGTCACATTATCGACTGTTTGCAGAAATGGCGCTTGCATTATACTCTTTCTAGCATCACACTACGTTAAAGGCCTACCTGATATGATATAATTTTTCTATGGCTATTGATGAATAATTAACCAATCCATTTTAACGTATCCGATAAATTGACAGTTTATATTTCTAAAGCACAAACATTGACATAATTTAGATACCAACGATATAAACTAAAAACAAAAAAAACTATTAAAAGAACAACATATTGACTTGTAATCGTCGTATACTATTTTACCAACTGCTATTTATTTTTAGAACCTTCATATCATTTGAAAGCAATTCTTAACTCAAAATCATGCAGATTGCTTATTTACATTTCAGACTCAGACCGTCAACGGCTTCAAGGATTTTTGTTGAACAGTTACAGCAACGCTGGGTCAAAACTGTTTGAGTACAGGGATACAAGTTCTAACAACAATGTACCAATCTACACAATAACAACAGGTCTACACGGTCCGGTGTCTTATGTTAATATATCTGTAGGAGGCATTCTAACACTATGTGAGGTCGAGATATACGGTGGTGAGTAGGCCTATATAATGACATTTAAACAGTGCAATGTTTGTAAATTAACTTTTATCCAGAATGGGCATAATGTAACATTCATTTTTCCAGAAAGCGTATGCAATGTAAAAAATTACGGTCCAGAATGTACCAAGACCTGCAACTGTAACGACCCAACTGAGACATGTTTTGTAGCTACAGGTGGATGTCTTTCTGGATGTGCTGCTGGATATCAAGGGGAGGACTGTTGGGAGCGTAAGTATACAAATCTACCGATATAAAGCAATATCGTTATAATGTTTTAGACAACGGATAATCAGTATTTCAAAACGTTAAAAAAGCGCGATTTATCTCCCCTAAATGTTCTCGTAATTTTTATATAATACAGTACAGGTGATGGTGGTTTTAATCGGGCTATAGAAATACAGTAGTGTGTGGAAAAAAAACAACTTTGTTTTGCGAAAACACATTTAATTGGAAATGTATGAGAATAGGCTATATTTATATTTTATATTAAATATAAGAGTTCTGGAGGGCTTTTAGAAATCGCTAATAGAGCGAAACACCTCATTATAATGCATTTTTTTCCTGCTGTTTTATACTCACTTTAAATTGAACTGAATCGCCTGTAAAAAAAATAATTGCTCGCCATAAAGATTTAAAATTATTTTAAATGGTTTGTTTTTTCGTAATTTGAAATATCCGACTACCAGAAATCACTCACATATAAAATAATCTAGATAATAGATTGTATACCTATATCCGTCCAATGAGATGGAACTCCAGTTATCGTAATCACATAGTAGAACAAAATAGCATACCGCTAACGGTTACCTGAAATAACTAGTTTAGTGACAAGAAATATGTACAATTAAATTTTAAAAACTGTGGTCAGTAAGGGTGTGTATCAGGTGGTAGTGATCTACGTACATTTTGGGAGGACATTTATAGATGTATATATGTGCACCATTGTTCTGTCTCCCAATATTACCATTTTTACACTTAAGCATATATTATTTGACGTGAATCTATATTCAAGCTTGCGGTGAAGACCATTACGGATCTAACTTACAGAAAGAGTGCTCTAAAATTGCACCAATGGCGTCTGTTGCAGTACAAACTGTTACTGCCAGCGATAGTTTGTGGGACTTCAGGGTCCGTGATCAAGTGTGATGTTATGAAAAAGAGTAATTAATGAGGTTTATAACAAAAAGCATCATTATGATCTGCTTGTGTTTTTTTATCATCAGCATGTAACGTTACATTTTTCGGACAAAATTGTGAAAGCAGGTGTAGCATCAACTGTTTACTACAACACTGTAACAACGTCAACGGGTTTTGTGACGCCTGTGTACCTGGAAAACAAGGAGCTTTATGTGATAAAGGTAATTAATATTTTCCCGATTCAAATATCTATAACGCGCTTGACTTCTTGACAAATTAATATTTGCAATACAACGATTTGGTTTCGTTTTACTTTTTTGTTCTGCTTAAAGTTATTTACAGTGGAGTAATAATCTGTTATATTTAGCTAATATGTCTGCCCTTAACCCAATATAAGAAAGATGTTCAGATAGTACTAAGGGTTATCAATGATGTTATTGAATCTAGGGGAAGTCTACCAGTTCATTTAGTTCCTACGTGTTGTGTCCGTAAAATTATAACAACATAAATTTGAAAACGACAAGTTTTATTGTATTTTTATAACATCATTAATGTTAAGTGTTATATATATTCCCACCAGACTGTAACCCCACGTATTACGGAACCAACTGCTCGACGAAATGTAGTTCCAACTGTCTAGACAGTCTGTGTCACAATGTGAATGGTGCTTGTATAAGTTGTGTTGATGGAAAACAGGGAACGTTTTGTGAACAAAGTAAGTTGTACAAATGTATACATTTTATTGTGTTTTCCTAATCTACAACTGGTTACTGCCATCAATGTAATGGTAGACTTCAAGGACATTTTTGTAATAAGCGTAAGTATATGTGAAGTAGTAATGGCATTATTAATTCAGGAATACACGATTTGATTAGTTTCTTTTACTAAGTTAATTTAATGAAAACATTTTTTTTCCAACAGAATGTAGCAATACATATTACGGAAAAAACTGTACACAAAAATGTAGCACCAGCTGTTTACGTGAACTTTGTGACAACGTCAACGGTTTTTGTCACAGTTGTATACCTGGAAAACAAGGTGTATTTTGTGAAAGAGGTTTGTAGCATTTTATCGAAACCAACTCTAAAAGACCTTTTACTTACCAATTATTACAATTCATAAATAATTCACGAATATATGTAATATCATTCCTTTACCATCAACTGTATTGGTTTATGCCCATAAGTTTGTAACAGCTTATATACAGTATCGTGTAATTTATTTATGCTAATTGTGTTTATTGTGTGTATTGCTTCGACCCCCCCCCCCCCACCAGACTGTAACGCCACGTACTACGGAACCAACTGCTCAGATAAATGTAGTTCCGACTGTCTAGACAGTCTATGTGACAATGTGAATGGGACTTGTAAAACTTGTGTTGATGGAAAACAAGGTCCATTTTGTGAAGAAAGTAAGTTGTATAGGCTACATGCAAGTTTTTTTTACTGTTTTTCTATATAACTATTCTATTGGTACATGAATATATAATACAATGACTATATTTACATTATTTCTTTTTTTTAAATCATCATTGCGTTAGCATATATTAATTTTCTTGACATAACACCAGAATGTAACGAGACGTATTTTGGAACTAACTGCTCGAAGAAATGTAGTTCCAACTGTCTAGACAGACTATGTGACAATGTGAACGGTTCTTGTCACAGCTGTGTTGCAGGGAGAAAGGGGCCATTTTGTAATGAATGTAAGACAACTCGTAATGTTAAAATTCAGCTTTTACTTTGTACTACTTCATTAATGTATTTATTTATTCATATATGCTTTACCGTGTATAACGAAACTATTATTTCTTTCTAACAAATTGTGGGTTTTGATTTCATATAACAAATATACATAGAAAAATGTATACATATTTATTAAAGTGCTTTTAAACGGAGTTGTATTAATAATAATTATTCTCATTTCCTTGTAACTTCTAAATAATAATTGTTAAGTTGACTTTTAATTATCAATTGTATATTTGTTTTTCATTATGTTCAAATGAACAACTTTCTTAAAACCACACAGCTTGTGACAGTCACAACTATGGACCAAACTGTGATGCTCACTGTTCAACTAACTGCAATGACTCAATATGTAACTCAACAAACGGCCACTGCTGGAGATGCTACCCTGGTTTTCAAGGATATTTTTGCAATGAAGGTTAGGTAGACCAGTTTATACATACAAAAAACAATTAGGTCTGTAATATAACATGAATACAAAGTTTAACTATGTGTATATCGTTAATACATTACTTGTCTTCTGCGCCCCAGATTGCGAGAAATCTTTCTTTGGACAAGATTGTAATCAAACCTGTGACTACTGTCTTAACGCTGACTGTAACAACACCAACGGTGTTTGTTTCAAATGCGCTGCTGGAAGTTGGGGGGACTTCTGTCAAGGTGTGTTTTGGAACGAAAAATGAACAAACATTAAAAAATTAAATGTAACTAATACAAAGTGTATTTGTTACAATGCTTAGCGATGACAAAAACAAAAGTAAACATCTTACCGCCATTTTAAGATAACGTATGCTTAGTAATATTAATTATAAAAAAATACCATTGTCACAGGCTTTTTACCTACCTTATATAATACACACACAAAAACCACAAGTCAAGCATTGTTCCCGTTGTTTTTCATATTTTATTTTTGGTTCATATAGGCATCGTGTTCATTATCAGACTACGCCATCTTCTTACCCACCTTCTCTCCTCGTTCCTTCCTCTCGCGCATGCGCACAGTCACCCTGTCTCCCTGATCCAATATCGCCTTTCAACACACACACTCCCAACATACATTCCACTAACATTTCACTGTTATAAACATAAAGTTCAAAACATATTGTGTAATTTTTTTATTTATTTTTCTAATCAATACAAATATTTGACGGTTAAGATTTACTCCAGTGTGAACTTCATTAATTTTTTTTTCAGCGTGTCCCAACCAGACATTTGGTGAGTCGTGTAAAGAGAACTGCTCCAAAAACTGTGAGCAAGACGGGACGTGTCACCCAGTCAATGGGACGTGTAAACACGGATGTCGTCAGGGGTATCGGGGAGAAACATGTGCTCAAAGTGAGTACATCTTAAGATAAACTGACTGCTCTGTTATATCTGTAAAGTGTCTATTCAACACATTTCGTATAGATGTAAAATCTTAAAATGTATTTATTTTAGTAGTTAACGTTCTAAAATATTAATAAAGTAGTCAATGTTACATAATTTCAATTAGTTAACTATACTGTTATGTTTTTAACTGCAAGTTCAGATATATATTATGCTCGTATTGCAGAGATACCTGAAGAACAATCACCTATAGCTGCAATTGTTGCACCTGTTGTAGTCATCGTTCTACTAGCTATTTTGGCAGTGATTGGCTTTGTCTACTGGAGGTACATGATATTATTCAAATAAAGTCGGTCTCATTTAAAGATGTGCTGCTATGTGTCAGCTATAAATGTAGGTGTTTATATAAGTTATGTGCTAATTAATATTATCACTTTCAGACATCGTCGGTTGAAGAACAAAGAAGACCACGTTAATGATTCGCAAAGAAATGAATTATTTGATATGTCTGATAGTCCAACTTCAAGCGGCAAATTAAACACCATAAAAGGTATTACATTTATACTCATTTTAAACAAATACTTTCTAAAGAATTTTAGCGATCGATTCAAGAATGCAACTGCATTTGAAAACATACGAACGTCGAACCAACGAACACAAGTTAAAATGATTGGAGTGTAATTGACTGTGTTCCCTACCTAGGTACAGATAAGCCAGTAGCTATCATTAACGCCTACAGTAACGTGGATGTTGAGGCAGACAGACGATACATCAAGGTCTCAAAACTGGACGAGTTTATGCAAGCTCATGGCAGAGATTACTTTGTGGATGAGTTTAAGGTCAGGTGACTCAGAGCTATAGTCGTGTTAGCTTAACTAACTTTAAGTTATCAGCATACATTAGTATTAAACAGTAATTATTTAATGAGTCATTTTATTTAACAAATTCTGTAAAAACATACACCCGATATTAATTTAAGTTTTTGTGAGTTAATATTTGAGTGAGTCAAAATAAAAATAAAAAACAAAAGAAAAAAGAAACTTCAGGAAAGATCAAAATCGAATTTCGTATAGTGTCTCTTTCCTTTATTTTTTGGTCACATTCAGTGTTACAATTAAAAACAAAATAGTAACACATCAATATAGGTTACATCGCAATAATATTAATAATGTGAAATAATATTTTAAGATTGTTGATTTTTTGTTTTAATTCCCAGAGAATTCCAACCCCCCAAAACGTGACAACCATGGTGGGACTAAGTGAAGCCAACAAACACAAAAGTCGATACAGGAATATTTGCACATGTCAGTTTTGGTTCTCATGCGTCATACTCATATGCATAAATATTGTTTTTGTTGTGAGCTAAATTATCCAAGTCGTTTAATTAAACCTTTAGTAAATATATCCACGATGTTTTACGTATTTTAAAATCAGAACGTAGAACACACTTCAAACATCAGTTTTTCTCCTGCAGACGATCACTCCCGCGTACATTTGGAAATAAATGCCAGCAAAAATGAAGGTGACTTTATTAACGCATCCTATGTTGAGGTAATTATTGCATGCATTTATATTTTTACCCAGTTTTACAACTATTTTACCTTTTTACATTTACAAACATTACGAATGTGTACAAATTCATTAATAAGTTGTTTATTTTAGTATGTTCCTTAATTAACAGACAGATGTAATACTGCTATAATACCGTTATGACACGAAATGTTTATAATTTAAGTCTTTTTGTTACAGAGTTATAACAATCAGGAGAAATACATAGCTTCCCAGGGTAGGTAGTGCTTATTTAATCAAGTTGTTCAGGAGGTAATTTTTCTTATTTTACCATATGGTGACATATCGTAAATGATTATTGTTATATATGACTAATAGTTACGTTTATACAGTGATGTAACTATACAATAATATGGTCCTAGGACCTTTGACCACAGGTGCTTTGACCATAGGGGGTTTGACCATAGGGGGTTTGACCACAGCGGAGCTTTGACCATAGGGGCTTTGACCATAGGGGGTTTGACCACAGCGGGGCTTTGACCATAGCGGTGCTTTGACCATAGGGGGTTTGATCATAGGGGGTTTGACCATAGGGGGTTTGACCACAGGTGTTTTCTCAGCAGAGGGTCTTTGATCACAGGTGGTCTATCAACTGGTGTTTGATCACAAGCGCTGTGTCCGGCTTTGATCATAGGTGTTTTGTCCACATAGGGTCTTTGATCTCAGGTGTTTTGTCCAATGATGTCCATATATGGTAAGGATTAATTTTAAAAGTTGCTAAATTATATTTTAAATTTCGACATGATGTAATAATATGTTAAATCATCATGTATTAATACAAGTCATCTAAACTACTCTATGTCAAAACCATGGAGAATCTTGGAGAGTATAGCACGTCGAAAAAAGGTAAAAGAACTTTGTTGTATCGTGGCCACGAGTTTTGGCTACACAGAGAACGCCAGGACGGGTCACGCTTTTGGCGGTGTACGAAGAATCGCACTTGTAAGTGCAAAGCTTCAATAGTTTCCTTGAAGGTCTACAGATGGACTGCACACGGCAAATAACAAATTTCTTGCAAGGTGTCGCAGGGGCAAGCTACCCAGCTGAGAAGCGATACAAGATGCTGCACGAAAAAGTACAACGTGCTGTCCAGACATATTGTATCACACCTATGATCAAAGCCGGACACAGCGCTTGTGATCAAACACCCGTTGATAGACCACCTGTGATCAAAGACCCTCTGCTGAGAAAACACATGTGGTCAAACCCCCTATGGTCAAACCCCCTATGATCAAACCCCCTATGGTCAAAGCACCGCTATGGTCAAAGGCCCGCTGTGGTCAAACCCCCTATGGTCAAAGCTCCTATGGTCAAAGGTCCGCTGTGGTCAAACCCCCTATGGTCAAACCCCCTATGGTCAAAGCACCTGTGGTCAAAGGTCCGCGCACCAATAATATAAGTAACATTGTTAACTTTATTGCTATGGACTGACTTATTCCTCTCAATTTCCAAGTACCGAATTTTATTTTGTTTACAAACCCTCTGTCTAAATACCTCAGTTGGACATTACTTGTTTATCGATCACAAATCGGCTATAAAACTAATCGAAATCATGTTTATGGTGAGTGTTGAGGGTATGTTTATGGTTTTATAGAATAGCGTTTTCTTCAGTATGCCTGTAACATGATAACAATGTAAAAGGTCAAAATATATAAGTTAACACGAGGGTAGCGATAAAAGGGTTCTGAAAAATAAACGATTGACGGAATTATTGTCCCAGAGTATTCGTATATTTGGTATTGGTACAGCTTGCATCTTCGGTTTTTGTTTCAATTCAGTAATATCAGAAAATTTAAAATAATAGCACGTTGAAATACTGTAGTGAATGTTATTTAAATGATATATACGGATATATAAGCTAATTTGAACATACACCCACACATGAACTATGTATTAAAAACTTACTTATTTCATAGGACCAAATGAGGTGATCATAAACGACTTTGTTAGAATGTTATGGGAACAAAAAGTTGAAAAAGTTGTGATGCTGACAAATCTAATTGAAGAAGGAAAGGTATGGTTCTATCAAATATATTAACTTCCGTTTCGTTAGGTAAAACTTTATTTGTTTTTATCTTCATTAATTGTGGCCATAACTAGATCATTCTGGCAATATGTACATTATGTGACAGGTAAAATGTGTAAGTTACTGGCCAGAAGAAGGTACAACCACATTTGGTGACATCAAAGTTAAGCTGGCAGCTACTCATGTTTTTGCTGACTACACTATCAGGAAGTTGGAGCTTATCAAGGTATACAAGCATCAAGTGGTCGCCTGTTTATCACATTAAAAAAACAATGATTTATTAATTTAGAGAATTATACGAAAATGGATAACATGATGTAGTCGTTTTAAGTTATCCGATTAATTAATACATGTATATGATATGTAAAAAAATGCAATTATTTTACAACGCATTTTACCATTGTTGTCATTATAATTGTCTTCCTAATGCCAACATTTAACAGAAAGATCATCCGACCCACCTATTCACCCAGTTCCACTTCACATCGTGGCCAGACAAAGGTGTGCCTCTAACACCGTGGGGACTTGTGGACTTTGAACAGAGGGTGGCGTTAGGGGGTACATCAAGGCCTATTGTTGTCCACTGCAGGTTTGATAATTATTTTCCACGGCAAACATGCAACTAAAAAATTATGTTGAATTAATTAAAACATTGCTAACACTAATTTTTCAACTCTAATGATTAACTAAATAGCGCTGGTGTAGGACGTACTGGAACCTTCATCGCCCTACGTAATGTGATGAGAGAAGCTGAAGACACCGGCTACATCAACTGTTTCAACACGGTGGCCAAGCTGAGACAAGACCGAGTCTTGATGGTACAGACAGCGGTAAGTAATGTTTAATAGTAGAACTTCAAATTTGAACTGGTTGAATCGCATCAACATTCATATAAGTAGTTACCTTATTTATTTGAAAACAATTAAATAATTGACCCAATATAATTGGGTTTTACAATTTATTTCTAAGCTTTCAAATACAATTTTTTAACTATAACTTAAGTCAATAAAAGCGAATATTTAATGACGTTCCCTGCCAACAGGAACAATACGAGTTCCTCCACAAGGCCGCGCAGGTTGCCATCACCTGTATGGGAACGACTGTCCACGCTAATGACATAGTGAGCAGAATACAGTTCTTAGGGGAGCGATCTTTGTCAGGGGTCACCAACATGGAAAAAGAATTTCAGGTAACCCAATTATGATGTATATAAGTTTTAGCTTACGGAGAATTGTAAACAGTTTTCTTAATACGTGTGCTTTTATAGCAACGTACTATTTTTTTTTATCTGATGCGTTTTATAACTTTCATAATCAAACCAGCTTGATACTATATATTCAGTATAAACAATGCACAATAAATATCTAGCTTGGTCGTATTTTCTTAACCCCAATTCCAAAAGTCTCCAGTTCTGTGTACATGACCAGGCACTGCAAATATCTGTATAGCTCCTAAGTGTCGGGGATGTAACGGTTGCAGAAGATATAATTGACCACCATGTCCCGTCATTAACTAACTTCAGAGAAATGTCATTCTCGACTTGAAGTGCCTCATGATACGATTGTTTGCAATTATTATAAAAACATACATTGTAATAGTACAATGTATTCTCACTTTTAAACATTAATATGGACTAGAGAATATAATGAAATATCACACACTATCATAAATTCGCAGAAGTATGAAATTATGAATTTTGTTATTGGAAAACCCATATGAAAAAAATGAACTTTACAGGCTGTCGTGAAACTCAGCGAAGACCTAAATAAACAAACACAGGATGAGGACATTTCTGGAGAGAATGGCAACATTTACCAAAATCATGACCCTGTTGTAGAAAAGAAAAACAGACGGTCTTCAATTATAGCAGGTAAGTTAAGTATCCGTATTTTAGACCACTAGACACTTTGTAGAACTGTTTAATGCACATACATTAAAACAATGCTGTAATGAATTAATTGTAGGTAACCTGTACAGAGCTGTGCTTTCCTGTGAATCAAACAACTTGGAAGACTATGTCAATGCAGTACTTGTCTCGGTGTGTATGATTTAAAAATATGTATAAAAACTAAGGCTTTGTTGCTTGACGAATATTATATATTTATTTGTGCATTTATCATCAGAGCTTCACTAAACGGGATAACCAGATTTTAACACAACTTCCAATGCCAAACACAGTCACAGATTTCTGGAGATTGGTGGCACAATATAATGTCTCACTTATTCTGGCTTTTAACAAGGGATCAAGTGAAAAGGATGAGGTAAGATAGTGGACAAAAGATGGTATATAAAGTGTATGTATGGTTTTCACTTATGTTAATGAATGTGTACAATAACTGGTGTAATTCAACATTGTGTTACCACAGACCCTCGGCCAGTACCTGCCTGCCAACATGACAACACCTTTAGACTGTGGACCATATGAAATACACACAGGACCTGTCAAGTCTGAGAGTTTATGGGAGGAACAACAGATAACAATTAAGACTGTTAAAAAAGCTATAACATTTTTACCTGTTAATGTGAGCAAACAATGTTTTTCTTGAATCGTAAAATTAAAAGTGCGCATTAAAAAATACTGTTTATTTAAATGGTATGATAATAAAAATAAGTTAAAAATATTTTAAATGCATATATAAAACATAGTTTGTTATTTAAAGGTAACAACAGAATCGCACGTGACCCACATTGCGAGTAAAAGCACAGACCTGAATCCCAAGAATCTTCTCAAACTTGTCAAACACACAAGGTCAAACAATGTACAGGCACAGGGGAGAGTACTCTACATGTGCAGGTATTTTATTTCACTCATACTTTAATTACCAAACATTTTTTATTTATTTACCAAAACAGTGTGTTCTTTTAATTTAAACAAAAATGATGATAACTGCATCATTGTTTTCAAGGACAAGCCCATTGATCTGTTTTTTTTTTGTTTACATTTCGTAATTCCAATTAATTCCAGAAACGGAGCTGAGTACAGCGGCCTGGCCTGTGTGTTGAGTCTTCTACTTGACCGAATGGACCATGACCAAAGTTTAACAGTTCCACTTGTTGTTGGTGCCATCAAATGTATCAGATCACAGGTCATCCCCTCCATGGTAATGTTTTTTTTTTCTGCATTGGAATACATACATTGTTTTTCATTTGTTTTTCTTCTTTGACAATAAATAGCAACACGCTTTGTATTAAAATAGCATAATTGGTGCGTATGGTAAGTTGGTAGAATAAGAGTATTTTTTAATAAAAACGTTGTTTTTATATCGCTAGGATCAGTACCGGTGTCTGTATCAAGTCTTACAGAGATACAATGAGTTAAACACACCGTACAGCAATTACGACAACGTTTCTGATTTAAAAGCTAATCGTGGTGCGACACATGGAAACGACACATTTGCAGAGGAGAATGTCTATCAAAACAATTAGTTCAGTTTTCTCAAGTGCATCTACTAGGTTATATCTTTGATGAACTTGACCAGTTCTTCAACACAAAACAAGCACAGTATATTAATCAGCAAACTTTTAGAGAACATAAACTGATTCTGAACATGTTTTTACATGTAATGTAGACCTATCTGTTAAATGAATCAAAATAAGTAAATACATAAGTTTTAATTAAAGTTATGAATTAAAGTTCAAAACCCGAAATAAACCATCATCTAAAAGTAATTTTTACAACTATTCGAATTCAATTTAAATGTATAACTTTAATTATTTATCTGAATTTAATTTTTTAAATATATGATTTATATTTTTTTTTAAAAAGCAATTCTTAACTAATATTTATAAATGTATCTGTTAAATTAATATAATTTTAAAATATATGTTATATATATTTAACATGTTTTTACTTCTCCGCTAAAATATGTAATTTAATTAAACCAACATAACACTTTTAGAAATGTACAATAAAATAAATATAGATCGATATAGACTGTATGCAACATGGTTTCCAAAAACAAGCAAAAAAAATATCTATAGGAAAAAAAAAAAGTTTCCCTTTCAAACCTGCGGTCTATGGGTCAAGTGAAGTAGAGTTCACTTGTTTCTGTGACCTCGGCATAGGAAGAGATAGTGTGGTCAGCACTATGCCCAGCCGCCTCTACTTTCCTTAACGTGAGTTGGGTGGACTCAGGGACGGTCTACCGCTAGACCACCCCGTCCCACTCCATATCTATAGGTAAGAAGACCATTTCTCTGTAGAATTATATATATATATATAAATATATATATATATATATATATATATATATATATATATATATATATATATATATACGTCATTGGTGTTTATATTCATACAGTTCAAATATGATTTCTTGGAATTTCATTAATTTCTTTTTTTTAAATATTTTTATAGATAATAGATAACATATTCTAAGTTATGAATGAAAACATTAATAGAAATCACATTTGTAAGGTCAATGTACATTTTCAACATATTTCCAAAAATAAAATAATAACAATTACGCAACGTAGAATTTAATAAAAGTAGATAATTCAGACTTTTATATTTGTTTTGTAATAGTCATTAAGCAGTAGTTTCCCTTAGGTAATTTATTGTTAAAATTATACAAATTTACACTAAGAAAAATTCATATAATGTTCTTTTAATTTAAAACAACTTTAAGAACTCTTATAAATGTGTTGTATGCAATTGTATTTTGGCATAAAGTAATTTTTTTGTTCCTGTTCTTGCTGATTGTTTAGAGAAACAAAAGTCTTTTTAATTTGAATTTTAATTGATTATAGTAAATGAATATACATTACTATTTAGTTATGTTGAAATCTAAAAAAATTAAAGTTTGTAACGAATTTCTCTTGAGCGATATTTCGCATCTTGATTGGATACGGGAAAATAGTATTTGATAAAGTTAGCTTATTGATAATGAAATCAATTTTTTAGAAAGAGTGACTTTATTGGCAAAAAAAAATGATATTCATCTCCCAGATTAAACATAGTCACAATATGCCACACCCAATTACTTACCACAATATGTCGCCCCTTAATTATACATCATCACAATATGCCCCCCCCCTCAGGTCAAAGTAAGTAACAATATGTCACCCCACTACAATATGTCACCCCCAGTAATACTTCACTACAGTATGTCACCCCCCGTTATACATCATCACAAAATGCCACCCCCAGTTATACCTCATCACAAAATGTCACCCCCAGTTATACCTCATCACAAAATGTCACCTACATGAATACATCACCACAATATGTCATTCCAGTTATACATCACAAGAGTGTGTCACCCCCATTTATACACCGTAACAAAATGTTCCTCCACTCCTTAACATATAGAGTGTCACAATGTGACGAACCCCTCCCCCTTGTTATGCATCCTCACAATTTCCTGCACCAAAATATGCCGACTCCCTCTTTTATATATGTTCTTTCTATTCAAATAGTTGTTGGTCTGAATAAACATTCGATAAATGTATCTGTCTATATTACATCTTAAACACGCCCAATCAAACATGCTAAATAACTAAAAAAACAGCAACTGTTCCCTTAATACAAATCTTAGTTCTACCACCACCCCATCCCCCTTTAACACCCCCGCTGTTCCACTAGGAACGTATAGTGAAAATGTAAACACAAGCAAGGTGTTTTTTTTCCATTGTCAAGCGAGACAGCTCTATTAATATTAATTAAAGCATCAACCAAGCTTGTTGACTTCCCCTTACGATAGGGTTTGATCTTAAGTTCGCGGGGATGCGGGATGAATACGTTAAGCCCTACCCCCTCTCCACGGACAAAAAAAAAATAAAACAATATAAAGTTTAAAAAAATATATAAACGTTTATCATTGTCCGCCCACCTTTTGTTCGTGTGTGTGTGGGGGGGGGGGGTAATTTGAGGTAGGCTTTACAACAATAGGCATAACAAGAACACCAGTTAAAGCCATCTAATTTATCTTATAAATTGTATTGTGTATGTAAGTCTCCAAGTATATTGTTTTGTTCTTTCTTGATGTTCTTTGTTAGTTGTTTAAATATGTGTATGAACATATGAAAAAAATCAATCTACATTTGATGACATATAAAAGAATTTTTTTAATTGAAACGTATTGAATTTATGTGATGCAGTATTACATTTTGGAAACAAATTACAAGAAATATTTCAAAATTATACTCCAGGTAATTCACCGAGTACATTGCTGATTTAGTGATACATACTAATATGGTTGAAATGATCTAAGCTAGGTTTAAAAAATATAATAATATATTTACATGTTGTCTGGTGACTATAGTTTGATCGGTTGTGTGTTAGGACGGGGTGTTTGTGTACGTGAAAGTGTAAACTATGTGTAGTGAGTTTGTGTGACTCGTGTATGTGTGATGGGTGTAGGACAGTATCTAGTACAAGGCTAATAACTGCATGTGTGTTTTGACTTGTGGGTGGCTGAGCTAGTGTTCAGGGGACGACCAATAGGAGAGGGGAAAAGGGAAACCACTGTTTGCAGGGGCGAGAGGGGAGATAAATGAAACGTAACACGCATGTATAAAACCCATCACATGTCTAAGATCTCTTTCAATTCCTTAGAAAACTTGTTTTTTCTTCCGCGTTCTGAAGTTTTTGGTGTTTGGAGGGATCCCCCCCCCCAACACTATTGAGTATACGTGTCAACTGTTTTTGCGCCATTAAGGCCATTGACTCAGATTACAGCCTGCTTTTCTTTTCGGATTTGCTTCCATAGCCTTTGTCCAACCAAGAACAAACTACAAGGCAGGAGTTGGTAGATTTTGGAGTTTTCTCTCCTAAAAGACTGGCTGTCCACGGCGAACGTACCTCACCTGCCCCGAGGGTGCGAACTCGAGACTTTCCGGTTTATCAACAATGAGCTTTACCGGCTCGACCACGACGACCCTCAAAAGACATTTCTCACAAGATAAAAAAGCTAAACGATATAGATTAACTGTATTTGGTGTCCAATAAGAATTGTTTTGATTATGTGTGTGGTTTATAATGTGTTCTTGGGATAAGCAAGTATTGTTTATTTATGTACTTCATTAATCGGACCAATCAACTAGATGACCCATCAACTAGAGGACCCATTAACTAGAGGACCCATTAACTAGAGGACCAATCAGCTAAAGGACACATCAACTAGAGGACTCATCAACTAGAAGACCAATCAACAAGAGGACCCATTAAGTAGAGGACCCATTAACTAGAGGACCAATCAGCTAAAGGACCCTTCAACTAGAGGACCCATCAACTAGAGGACCCATCAACTAGAGGATCAATCAACTAGATGATCAGACACGATGAGTAACAGATATGTGTTTAACATGGGTGTATGTGTTCACAAGCCACAATCCCACTGACAAGCCACTAGCCCAATGACAAGCCACCAGCCCAATGACAAGCCACCAGCCCAATGACAAGCCACCAGCCCAATGACAAGCCACCAGCCCAATGACAAGCCACCAGCTCAATGACAAGCCACCAGCCCAATGACAAGCCACCAGCCCATTGACTGACAAGCCACAAGCCCACTGACAAGCCACCAGCCCAATGACAAGCCACCAGCCCATTGACTGACAAGCCACCAGCCCAATGACAAGCCACCAGCCCAATGACAAGCCACCAGCCCAATGACAAGCCACCAGCCCAATGACAAGCCAGCAGCCCACTAACTGACAAGCCACCAGCTCAATGACAAGCCACCAGCCCAATGACAAGCCACCAGCCCAATGACAAGCCACCAGCCCAATGACAAGCCACCAGCCCAATGACAAGCCACCAGCCCAATGACAAGCCACCAGCCCAATGACAAGCCAGCAGCCCACTAACTGACAAGCCACCAGCCCAATGACAAGCCAGCAGCCCAATGACAAGCCAGCAGCCCAATGACAAGCCACCAGCCCAATGACAAGCCAGCAGCCCACTAACTGACAAGCCACCAGCCCAATGACAAGCCACCAGCCCAATGACAAGCCAGCAGCCCACTAACTGACAAGCCACCAGCCCAATGACAAGCCAGCAGCCCAATGACAAGCCAGCAGCCCGTTAGCTGACAAAGGCATGCACACCTAATTAACACAGTGGCCGAACGCCGTACACACCCAACAGACTCAGACCCGGTCCCAAAAAAAGTCTGACGAAATATTTTTTTAAAGTTTCATCAATCCGTTACCAATTCTATATTCTTAGACGTGTGACCTTGTTTTCTAAAACTGAGTTATTTAAATGTAAACAATGCCTGCGCTATAATTCTTGGATCCAGTGGCGTAGCCAGGATCGTCTCAAGTGGGGGGGGGTCCAATTTTTACCCGGACCCCCCCCCCCCCTAACCCCACTGCCTACGCCACTGCTTGGATCATATTTCTCTGGGTAAGGGTTTACTTAGACTACCGCTCACCACGCCCAAAGGCGTGGTCTATGAAAGACTTTCGTGTACGTTAATCACTCTCCATAATAGTGAGGTAGAACAAACTTCGGCGACCGCCCATGTGTCAAAGATTTTAAAGGGCGCTCCCCGGAGATCCTTGTTACAAAGCCTCAGAGTCGCCGCGTATAGCCCCTGGCTCGGTTTAATCAGCAAATGTAGTGTGCCATCGCGTTAATATTAGAAGGCGCTCCTTATTCTGCTTGTATTTAATTAAAAATAACCATACACATACTTATTGCATTTACCAGTTAGTTAATATATAAAAGTTTTGTATTGTATTAAATATATTTTTCCAGTAATTATAATCATGAAAATAGTTCCAGTTACATCTATTTCACTTTTTGAAGCCATAAAATCTACATGTGTTGCTTCGTCTAGGCAGTTTGTAAATTGTATAACGTATTATCAGAAAAGGGGAATATGTTGAATGGCTATTTTATAAATCAGATACACTTCTTCACAATAATCAATTTATTGTTTTTTAGTTTCTACTTTAGAAGCGCAAAAAACATTGCTACGCTATGTTTGACGTAAACACGTATAAACTAGAATTGTAAACTCCAATTCCTCTTTTTTGCGATGTATTAGTTTAGTGTATGTATAATGAATACGATTGGGACGTGCTTACTACACTTATATGTCAAAGCTTGCCACCTGCGTGAATATCTTATCCTTCACGGTTGGTTGACGACGGTTTTAAACTAAAACCAGGAAGTGTTTTCGTTCCGCTGATCAGTCGTTACGGTTCAGCTGGGTTGTGAATTTGTTGGTTAGCTTCAGTTGATCATCTGATGAATGTGTTCACTAGCAGCCCTAACGTGGATATAATAAAAACAGGGCGGAACTGTGGTACGTTATATAACTTTATCTTAAAATAATGTCTTAACTTGAAATGTAATGTAGCGAAATGTTTTATTGTAGATTTAAAGATAATGTTTTCAAATGTGGAGCTCAATACCTTTATTTTACATACAACCACACACTTATATGAACCACTCCCAAATATGCCGATGTTTACACACGATCACACACCTACATGAACCCTCCACCACACCACCCCCCTACATTAATCACACAAACAAACAAAAATAAACCGGGAGTGATATCCACTAAAATTTCTCGAATATTCTTATATGAAACAACAGGGGCTGGCAACTCGAGATATAGACAAAATTTTAAATCCATTTTAAATACTTACACTTTTTAAAATATTATAAAATCTGGTAGAAAAAAGAATTGCACACCAAGTAAACGAAAAATAAAATGTGTATAATAGTGCGGAA